CAGGCTATATGGGTTAGGTAGGGGTAGGGTTGCTAAGAGTTGGGTAGGGGTAGGGGTTGGGGTCTTACATAATCGCTACCCTACCCTACCTCTACTCAACTCTTGGCAACNCTACCTCTACCCAACCTCTACCTAAATACTAGTCTAGAGATTAGGTAGGGTAGTAATTAGGTAAGACCTCTACCTCTACCCCTACCTAACTCTTAGTAACTCTACTCTACCTCTATCTAACTCTTAGCGCTAAGATTAAGTAGAGGTTAGATAGGGTTATATAGGCCTTAGGTAGAGATAGAGATAAAGTAGTAATTATATAATACTCTACTCTACCCCTACTATAATTAATAAATGTAATAAATACTCTTAGTAGTTAATAGATACTCTCTATCTCTAGATAGAGTAGAGGTTAGGTAATAGTTGCATAGACTTAGGTAGAGGTTAGGTAGAATTATATAGTCTTTAGGTAGAGGTTAGGTAGAGTTAGATTAGATAATATAACTCTACTTAACCTCTACCTAAGTTTATACGACCCTACCTAACCCCTACCTAAGAACTATACGACTCTACCTAACCTCTACCCAAGTCCGTGCGACCATTACCTAACCTCTACTCTATCTAGAGGTAGGGGGGTACCTAATGACTAGTCTATCTAGAGGTAAGAGGGTACCTATTTACTAGTCTAGATAGAACTATCTAAATCTAATACGTAGTTATATATAAGAATAAAGCTATAGCCGTTAGCGACTATAATATATATATAAGATAATATCTAGGTTTTAATATATATAGACCACGCTTAAGAGATAAGAGATTAAGCTAAGAAGAGTAGTTAGCTCTTTACTAGGAGGGTGATGCGGGAATCTCTTCTACTAGGCCTCGAAATCTGCAGATCCCGCTTAAGGGACGAGAAATTAGGCTAAGAAGAGCAGCCCTTTGCAAGGAGGGCGTGTGGCATAAGGCTGAGGAATCCGGTTTAGATGTGTATTTAATCTTGCCTATCCAGCCCCTTCTCTTCCTTAAGCCATCGATCTTTCTCTCGCGAACAGTAAGTACAATACACCATGCTCACACCCACTACACCACCGTCGTTTTTCCCACTCAGTTATTTGCTTACTGTCCTCTCCTGCATACCTACTAACCCTCTTCAGCCTTACACAACCCCTATCACACAACTACCTGTCAGAACCATCCATTCCGCACTCAACGTCCTACACAATGCAAACCACCCCTGAACCCCCCGTCAACGCCTGGGACTTCAAAGGATGTGGCAAGACAAGTATTTCAGATAACCAGTCATGTCCAGACTGTGGATTGACTCCGTAATCCTACGAATATATCAACAAGGTATAGCGAAACATAGTCAAAAGGTATTTTCTCTGTAGATGCAGGAGGTCTATGTGGAAGGTGGGAGTAGGGGGATTTTGTATCGAAGTGTTGTAAGCCCAGCACGGCTAGGTGTCACGTGGCTCGCCACTAGATAACTAATCTAGTCGTCTATCTGTATATAGCTGGGGTCCTATACAGATCCTCACAGACAATCACAAGACAACACACACACTTATACAATACACACATTCACTACTTATAAATACCTGCTGCCTACCTACACCTGCTTACATTCTCTACTTATGCGGAAGCCCCTGAGTGGGTCTTCCCTTATTCCCGCCCTCAACACCTCAAAGTCCTGCGTACATCCTCCTGCTAAGCGACAAAGGGGATTAACTTAATAGCAAATCGTATACTTACTGTCCTCCTACAAGCAGACATGAGGGAAGCGATGGAGAACAGAGAGATGTACCTACCGATTTGATAGATATCTGTAAGCCCAGAAGTACCATGTACAGTCACGTGATTACCCACTGACTGATACCACTGTATTTAAACTTGCACTCAGCATCATATATAACACAATACACAATACACAACACTTCTTACACACTGAACTGCTTACAATCTTAAATTTGAATACGATAGAACTAATAAAAACGCACCTACCTGGGATGAAAAGAACCCTTCCTCGCGTGTGTGAGAAGAGATAGAAGGAAGAATAGAAGGAGGGATGGAAGGAGGGATGGAAGGAGGGATGGAAGGAGGGATGGAAGGAGGGAT